CACTTTTTCGTTCCATGTTAGTTTACTAAATCTGGGCGCTAGATAGCTCAGAACATTGTTGTTGTTGTTGTGTAGTCGTTTAGTCGTGTCCGACTCTTCGTGACCCCCTGGACCAGAGCACGCCAGGCACTCCTGCCTTTCACTGCCTCCCGCAGTTTGGTCAAACTCATGCTGGTAGCTTCGAGAACACTATCCAACCATCTCGTCCTCTGTCGTCCCCTTCGCCTTGTGCCCTCCATCTTTCCCAACATCAGGGTCTTTTCCAGGGAGTCTCTCTCTCATGAGTGGCCACAAGTATTGGAGCCTCAGCTTCAGGATCTGTCCTTCCAGTGAGCACTCAGGGCTGATTTCCTTAAAAATAGATAGGTTTGATCTTCTTACAGTCCATGGGACTCTCAAGAGTCTCCTCCAGCACCATAATTCAAAAGCATCAATTCTTCGGCGATCAGCCTTCTTTATGGTCCAGCTCTCACTTCCATACATCACGACTGGGAAAACCATGGCTTTAACTATACGGACCTGTTGTGCAAGGTGATGTCTCCTTGCTTTTTAAGATGCTGCTAGGTTTGCCATCGCCTTTCCTCCCAAGGAGCAGGCATCTTTTAATTTCGTGGCCACTGTCACCACCTGCATTGATCATGGAGCCCAAGAAAGTAAAATCTCACTGCCTCCATTTCTTCCCCTTCTATTTGCCAGGAGGTGATGGGACCAGCTCAGAATTAAGGTCTTGCTAATCAAAAACATTGGATCTGAGCTGTCTACCAGCAAAATTGTCTTGCTTGGTTCTTAACTTTGTTAAGGAGAGGCAAGATATTTCTGGGACAGGTTTTGCAATCTAATTGGATGTTTGTTTACGGTTTAGCCTCAGAGCCTAGCATATTAAACAGTTTTTTAATGTAACCACACACAAAACAGTAAAGCACATAGAAACGCGGGCTCGTGCGCTCACAAGGAAATCTGCGACATCCTCAGACGTTACGTTATCCTTGACGCTAACGATTGTTGAAAAATATGTAACAGGCGAACAAATACTGTAAATGTTTTAAGAGCGTGATTATGAATTAATGCAGGATGTTGCAATGTCTTCCTTTCATATTCATGATGTGTGAAGTCGTAGGGGAGAAGGAAGATCAGGAAAGGAGACTACGTTTCTTGAATAATGAAATCCGGCCGGTCTGTTCATGGTAGTCCACTCACCCTTTCCTGCTTCTCACGTAGTCCCAGTTTAGCGGGGCAGAGGACTGAGCGGGGCTGCTTGGAGCACAGCAAAGGTGTGCACACTGTACCTTTAAAGCACATTCAAAGCACATTGCCCTCAAAGAATTCTGGGTGCTGTAGTTTGTCAAGGGCTGCTGGGAAGTGTGACTCAGTGAGGGGTAAACTGCACTGCCCAGAATTCTTTGAGGGAGGGGAACGTGCTTCGAATGTGCTTTCAGGGTACAGTGTGTGCTTAACACAGTCTGAATCAGTGGCTGCCACTTTGTAGTGTGTATATGGGGTGGGTGGGGGGTTAAAATGACTCAAGTCAGAGGCGGCACATTGAAGCAATGAATTCAAGTGACAGGAAAGGACATTCCGACTCAACATCAGGAAGTGCTTTCTGTCAATAAGAGCTGTTTGATAGTGGAACGGTCTCCCTTGGGAGGTTGCAGACTCTCCTTTCTTAGAGGTTTTCAAGCAGAGGTTGGATGGCAATAATAATAATAATAATAATAATAATAATAATAATAATAATATATTATTTGTACCCCGCCCATCTGGCTGGGTTTCCCCAGCCACTCTGGGCGGCTTCCAACCAAATATTAAAAACAATACAGCATCAGACATTAAAAACTTCCCCAAACCGGGCCGCCTTCAGTTGTCTTTTAAAAGTAAAATAGTTGTTTATTGCCTTGACATCTGCTGGGAGGGCGTTCTACAGGGTGAGCGCCACCACCGAGAAGGCCTTCTGCCTGGTTCCCTGTAATCTCACTTCTCGCAGCGAGGGAACTGCCAGAAGGCCCTCGGCGCTGGACCTCAGTGTCCAGGCTGGATGATGGGGGATGATGGGGGTGGAGACGCTCCTTCAGTTCTACAGGACCGTCTGTCTGTCATGGATGCTTTAGCTGAGATTCCTGCATTGCAGGGGGGTTGGACTAGATGGCCCCTGGGTGTCCCTACAATTCTATGATTCCATGACTCTATGATTGGGTAGTCTTCAACAGAGAATTGCTGTGTACATTTAAAGCACACGCACACACACAAAATCCTGGGAACTGTAGTTTAAGGGTGCTGGTAAATGCAGCTCTGTGGGAAGTAAATTACAGTTACCAGGATCCTCTGAGGCAGGGAGAGATGTGCTTTCAATGTGGGCTGTGTACAGAGCCTGCTTCTGCTACTGCAAGGATTTATGCTCATGCAACAGAAATCGCCCTCTGTCGCCTGTCCCCACATTCACTCTGAAAGGTTTGCGCAGCCCTTAGGATTTAGGGTGCTGGAGATGCAAAGAGGTTGAGGGAACGTTCTTTCACATGTGGTGGACTTGTAAAAGGGTAAAAGAGTATTGGGAAATGATCCATAATGAATTGAAAAAAATGTTTAAAAGTACTTTTCCCAAAACACACACACACACCAGAGTCCTTTTTGTTGGGGATAATTCAGACTCCCAGGTGTCAAAAAAGGTTATTTATGCATGCTACTACTGCGGCCTGTGTTTTGTTAGCCCAAAAATGGAAAACGAGTGAGTTCCCAGCTAAAGAACAGTGGCAACTTAAGCTGACAGAATATGCGCAGCTTGCAGACTTAACATATAGAATAAGAGAACAAGAACATACGTTTAGAGAAGAATGGAAAATGTTTATTGAATATATGGGGGCAAATTGTGTACACTTGAAAACTTTGGCAGCCTTAAGATAAATTCAACTGTGTGAGTAAGTTTTCACGGATGTAATAATGGGATACTGAGTGGTTTAGTTTCTGTAAAATAAGCAGGGATTTATGATATGCAAAATGAACCGTGGAAAGAGAAGAAGGGAAGTTATTGATGTTTTAAGGATGTTTAAATGAGTATTTAAACTGTAAAACAGAAAATATAATAATAATAATAATAATAATAATAATAATAATAATAGATAGATGATAGATAGATAGATAGATGATAGATGATAGATGATAGATGATAGATGATAGATGATAGATGATAGATAGATAGATATAGATAGATAGATATAGATAATAATAATAATAATAATAATAATAATAATAATAATAATAATAATAATAATAATAATTTATTATTTGTACTCCGCCCATCTGGCTGGGTTTCCCCAGCCACTCTGGGCGGCTTCCAACAAAGATGAAAGATACACTAAAATGTCACATATTAAAAACTTCCCTGAACAGGGCTGCCTTCAGATGTCTTCTGAATGTCAGGTAGATGTTTATCGCTTTGACATCTGATGGGAGGGCGTTCCACAGGGCGGGCGCCACTACCGAGAAGGCACTCTGCCTGGTTCCCTGTAACTTGGCCTCTCGCAGTGAGGGAACCGCCAGAAGGCCCTCAGAACTGGACCTCAGTGTCCGGGCAGAACGATGGGGGTGGAGACGCTCCTTCAGATATACTGGACCAAGGCCGTTTAGGGCTTTAAAGGTCAGCACCAACACTTTGAATTGTGCTCGGAAACGTACTGGGAGCCAATGTAGGTCTTTCAAGACCGGTGTTATATGGTCTCGGCCGCCGCTCCCAGTCACCGGTCTAGCTGCCGCATTCTGGATTAGTTGTAGTTTCCGGGTCACCTTCAAAGGTAGCCCCACGTAGAGCGCATTGCAGTAGTCCAAGAGGGAGATAACCAGAGCATGCACCACTCTGGCGAGACAGTCTGCAGGCAGATAGGGTCTCAGCCTACGTACCAGATGGAGCTGGTAAACAGCTGCCCTGGCTACAGATAGATAATAGATAG